CCCCCCCCCCCCCCCCGCAAGGAGACAGACAGAGAGAGACAGAAATTATGACAGAGATTATCTGGGTTCCAGTGTTGTTCTAGCCGAAGTGTGTGGGGGGTTCTTGGTCTGTGAGAGCGCTGGTTCAGAAGTTCCAAAGTTTCAAAGTATCAAAGTCTTGAAGTCTTCCCCAGAACTTTCCTCAGACATCCTTTTTGCCTGCTGGGTTTGTGATGTTCATCATTAGCAAGTTCAATGTCAGTAAGTTCACTGATAACAAGTGTGCTGTCAACAACTCTGCTGGAACAGTGGAATTTTGGACAGAGCATGTCTCCACAGGGATCCCTCCTCTGACCGTATCTTCAGCCATTAATCTGTTGTCATGGTGATGGTCTCATCTTGCAAGTGTTTGAGACAATTACAGACATACCACAGATAGTGTTTTTCTTACAGCCTTAGGTCATTTCCTGGGATGGGGCACCCACAGCTTCTCTGGGCATTCTGCACCAGTGTTTCACCACCTTCTGAGTAAATAATTTCCTCCTTATATCTAATCTAAATCTTGCCTCTTTTAGTTTAAAACCATTACCTGCCACTGCATGCCTTGATGAAAGGTTTCTCCCCATCTTTCCTCCAGGCCCTCTTTAAATACTGAAAGACCACTGTAATTACCTCCCTCAACCTGCTAGTCACGCTTCTTTTGTTGCAGCCTAAGATGCAGTTGACTTTCTGGGCTGCAAGCACACCTCAACATTGAACTATTGACCACTTCTCAGAATGTGACCATCCAGCCAATTGCTTACACAATAAGTGATGCTTCTGTCAAATTCATGTCTCTTCAATTTAAAGACAAATATGCAGCCCAGCTGTGCAGGGATAGAATCAGAGAAGCAAGGTGCAGATGGAGCTGAACTTGATGAGCAAAGTGAAAAAAAACAAGAAGCGATTCTGTAGGTACATTGCTCAGAAGAGACAGGCAAAGGAGATTGTGTCTCTTCCAATAAATGAGAAGGGACAATGGGCATCAACAGATACAAATAAAGCTGAGTGGTTTTCTTTTCTTCTTTCTTCACTGGCACTCAGGCTTCCCACACCTCATGCCCCTGAACCTCCAGATTGGGGATCAGAGGAGCAAAACGCCTCCCAGTAAGAGCAGAGCAAGTCAGACTGCCTCATGAAAGTGAATGTGTACATTCTGTGGGCCCAGACAACACAGATTGCAGGGTCCTGATGAAACGCTTCCGTGCTTGCCAAGATACTCTCCATCACATCTGAAAAGAGATGACTGTCAGATGAAGACCTGGTGAATGGAAAAGGGAAACCTCAGTCACGTTTCTAAGAAAGGCATAAGAGAACACCTCGGAAGCTACAGCCTTACATCTCTGCATGGGAAGATAATGGAGCAGATCCTACGGAAGCTATGTTAAGGTACACGTGAGATGAGGAGCTGATCCGAAGAGCCAGCATAGCTTCACCAAAGGCAGATCATTCCTGACTAATTTGGTGGCATTATAAAATGGATTGGTGGCATTGGTGGATAGAGGAAGGACAACTGATGTCATCTACTTGGAGTTATGCAAGGCCTTTGGTTTCCACACCTCATCATAATCTCTGAATTGGAAAGATAAAGATTTGAAGGCTGATTTTTTTGGTGGATAAATTATTGGCTGTAGACAGAGTGTTCTGGTCAATTAATCTGTGTCCAGTTGGAGACCAGTCATGAGAGATATCCCCAGGAGTCAGACTTGGGACTGGTGCTCTTC